AGATGGGATGGAGGCCCTGGATTATTCTCTTCCTGCACATCAGGACAGACTGAAAAGCCACCTCTGCTGATTCTGAGACTGTCTTTCAGGCAACATGAGATGAGATATGGTGGTGGCTATTAAGGCAGGAGAGGCAGAGAAGCCAACCCACCTGTCAAGTGACCACCTCTTGTCTATGAATTGCAGTTTTCTGGGGCCAGGGTGGGAGACCTACCCAAAGAGGACCCTGGTTTCCACTTGGGAAGTGAGGAGGAGAGGTTTGTAGTGTCTGCACCCGCAGGGAGTAAGGTGGAGTCATTTCCTGTCATTCACCTTGTCTGGGTGGAGGGTGCAGCATTCAGAGGGAACTAGACCAGACAGTGGAAAAGTTGCCTGGAAAACCCCAGCCTAGGCCTGGTAACTGGGGGATGTCTGGCCAAAAAAGCTTTTCCCTGAAGACTGATCTTATCCTATGAGGTGCTATTTTCCCCAAAGGAAGCACCTGGCAAACAAAAAAGCTGGGGCAGGAAGAGGGTATGAATGTGCTAAGCAGGGAGGGAGGTGGTGAGGAGGCTGTACAGAGGACTTTGGGGTCAGGCCTGAGTTAATCCTGACTGTGTTCTTGGGTAACACACCCTTTGGTGAAACAGGGATTCAGTAAGACACCTGAGTGTTCCCTTGTTCATCACCTGGCACACAGGAGGTGCTTCATAAGTGGGAGTCATTTTGTCCCAAGATGAAGGATGCTCGTATGGACCTGAAAACCGAAAGCACTTCCATGGACCCCAGTGGAAAACCCCCCTGACTACCAGCAGCAGCATGGAGAAGATTATGGCTTTGGTGATGGCTGGGGGACAGCTGCAGACATAGAAAGGAATAAGCAACTCACGAGAGGGGGTGAGAGTTTCAGAGGAGAGGGAGGGCCTCACAGTGCCCTTAGGCTCAAAACCTGAACCTGCCCATGGCCGCAGAGCCCCGAATGCCCTCATACTGGACGCAGGTCCTCCCTTGGGTGTGTAAATACACCCGCCTCCTTCCAACCTCAGTGCTGCACACCTCTGCCCTCCTTCCCGGTACCCACATGGGACTATGGGCTTTCAAGTGACCCCAGCACCCAGCTTTAAATCTCCAACTGAGACAGTCAAAAACAAAGGTTTTTGTTTTTAAGCCGCTCCTGTGGGGATAATTTGTTACACAGCAGCAGGCACACTGACACTGCTGTCCTTGCCCTGGTGTGCTCACGCTGCACACTGCTGCATTGCTTCTTTGTCTCCATTGCCAGCACACCTGCCGATATGTTCCAGTGATGTCTCCTTTCCCGAGGACAGAAGGTGCACAAGGGCAGCGGCCTTGTCTGTTGTGCCCCATTTATTGTCTCTACCAGGAAGTACAGTGTCTGACTCTGTGTCAAAGATGAGCCTTGAAAAGGTAGGTGATGCTTCAGAGGGCAGAAACCACACAGTGACCTCAGGGCACAACTATTGCTCCTGTGCCTGCCAGGTGACAGTGAGCTGGTGTGCTGGGATACCTCGAAATCAAGCAGGTGGTAGCCGAGGGCAGGGCCTGATGACGCCTAGCTAGGAGAATGTCAGCTCTGGCGCTCTTTCCAGAGCTGCTCAGGTCCGCTCGGCTGCTCTTCCTCCTGGTAGATGATGCTTTGGTCCTTTCCTCTTCATTCTCTTGCTAAATCCTTCGGGGCCCCGACCCTCTCCGCTGACCCTGGCAAGGTATGGGCTGGTCCTCCGTGTCCCCCTTCTTATCTGGGGGTCCTGCATCCGTACACACACACACACACACACACACACACACACACACACACGCCATTATGTTTCTTCTCAGGAAATCTCTCAGGATGGCGCGCCTTATGCCTTGGGTCACCAAGAAGCCATTGGCTTCTGTTCCTATCACCGGAAGCCCTTGTCAACAGAGGAATAGTGTGATATCCTCAGGTCACCTGAAATGAATATAAGTTGGCAGAAGCCAACTTAAGCTGGCTCATAGGGTGAACATCAAAACAAGAAAATAACTCTCCCACCAAACTTTGCTTTGAAACATCTTCGTAACTGCCTCCCTGTTGGACCCTCCCTCTACCTGTAACCATAGCAACCGTCATTTCTCTACAAGCAAATAAGCATCTCAGGAGATGGGGGCATTAACCAGTAATCCTTGGACGTTTTCACTCAGTCTCCTCCCCTTGCAGGTTTCCTCTAAGGTCTGGGTGGGGTCTCCTGATGTCTGGTGTGGGATGGTGAATATCTTGGGGCACCTTGTTTGGGGTAAGAGAGACCCTCCCACACCACTCCTCCCACTTCATGTGCTTATTTTTCTCCTGATTTTTTAACTTGAAAATGTCAGCATGTTGTTAAGGCCACAAAACAAAATGAATTGAGATTTTCATCTTGCAATCAATCCTTCATGACCTTTGAACATTTGACAGTCACATTCCTATCCCACGCTGCCCCTCCCACAGCCAATCCTTCAATTGCGCTAGGCCGGCTTACACTGGCATAGTTGAAATTCTGCCAATCCAACCTGGAAGGAGGAAGGCAAAGTGTTCCAAGAACAAAAGGAGTACAGATCCGTAGTAGCTCTGTCCACATTAGAAAAAGTGCAGGTGGGCTTGTTTGGGACTGTGTCAGTGTCTGACCTGGGGATCAACCAAGGTAGAACCCCCACCTTTAACCTGGTGCCCATCCAGCTGCTCTTACCTCTGGCCGAGGAGGACTCTTTTGCACCCCCCTCCACAAATGCTACTTGGGGTCCTGCCTGCACTCTGCTTGATCACAAGCCACCATCCCACTCACTTCCTCAACAGAACCCATCTCCTGGTCCCTGCCCCTCTCTGGCTTGGGAATTCATTCCACCTGGAAGCCCAGGGCCCAGCTTTCAGTGGTGACTCAGCCTGTTTCCCTAAGGCTCTTAGAAATGGCTGGGCCCAGGCAGCTAACTCCTTTCTTCCCTTTTCAGCTTGCCTAAGCTTGCAGCCCCAGCAGCCTGGTAGAGGGTCCTGATGGGAGGCATCTGAGGACCACAGGGCTCCAAGCCTCCATCCTTCAGCCGCTTGCTGGGCAGCAGAGCATAAAGTGGAGTCCTTTCTGATGTGTTGGTCACTATATCTATCTTGTCAGTGTCCCTCCCAAGGCCCTGGCTAGGAAGTGGCTACCGGCAGTCTCTATCACTCAGCTAGGTCCCCAGCCTAGGACTGTGCACCAGGGTAGAAACTGATCAGACAAGGGTGGACACTGAGCCAGGGCCTGCATATCCCACAGTGGCCAGCCATCCAGGGAGGTCCTGGGCAAAGGACTCACATGATAGGATTAATTAAGCCTATTAAATTTGGACCAAACTGAAGAATATGTAGGGTTTGGACAGCTGGGATCGGGAGACCAGAGATGCCACCAAATGTCCTGGAGCCAAGGCTGCTGTCAACCCATACCCACTTAGGATGTGAGATAATATGCACTGGGACCCCCTGGGCCATAACTATGCTCTCTCTCCATCACACCACACTTACCATGGCTCCTATCTGACCACCACCTGTCCAATTATACCTGTGTCCACTTTCTTGTTTTTGCTTTCTATACGTTTCATAGCTTTACATTTAGGCCTATGATCCATTTGAGTCAATTTTTGTATCTGGCTGGTATAAAATACAAGGGGAGGTTCATTTTTTGGCTTGTGGATTTTATTAGTTTTCTATGCTGCACAGTAATGAGCACAAACTCAGTGGCTTGGAACAATGCACACAGTTCCTGGGGGTCAGAGGTCTGACACTTTTGAGCCACGTCTTCTTAGTCTCTCCCAGGCTGCCTGCAATCATGGTGTCGCTGGCTGGTGTTCTCATCTGGAGGCCTGACGGCAAAGAATCCATGTGCAAGCTCATTTGTGTGTTGGCAGAATTCATTTCCCTGCAGCTGGGTGACAAAGGGCCCTCACTTCTGGTTGACCATCCTCACTTCCTAGAGGTGTCCAACAGCAACTTGTCACATGGCTTCTTCATCAAGCCAGCAAGGATTGTTGGGGCAGTCAGCTATCAGGATGGAGTGGTAATCCTAGGAATGACATCCTGACATGTGCCAAATCTTATTGATTAGAAACAAGCCAGAGTTCTTCTCACACTGATGGTGTGAACCAGGGGCAAAGGTCAGGGGCCTTCTAAATCTGCCTACAACCTGGTACTCTTCACCATTTGCTGAAGACTGTCCTCTCTCTACTGAAGAGTTTGTACAAAATCAGTCATCATATCTGCATGCATCTTATTCCTAGAAATTCCCTTCTATTATATCCATCTGTGTCTAGCCTTCTGCCAATATCATGGTGTGCTGCTTATTGTAGTTTTATACGAGTCTGGAAATCAGGTTGTGTGAGTCTTCCAACTTTGTTTTCTCCTCACTCACTGCTTTTTTTTTCTTTTTCTTTTTTTTGAGATAGTCTTACTGTGTAACCCAAGCAGACTTTGAACTCCTGATTCTCCTGTCCCAGACTCCCAACTGCTGGGATTATAAGCATGTGCCACCCCACCCTGCTTAGTTGTTCTTTACCAAAATTGTTTTTGGATATTTTAGGTCCTTTGCTATTCCATATACATTTTGGAATAAAATTAAAAATTTTACCAACAAATCCTTTGGAATTTTGATTTTATCAAAATCAGAAGATGAGATGGCCTTAGATCTATGAAACTGATTTTAAAAACTGATCTAAGGCTAGCTCAATAGTAGTGTGCTTAGCACACACAAGGCCCTGGGTTCCACCCCATCACCACACAGATAATACTCCGGCTCCTAATAACTAAAAACAGATTTGACCTTACAGTTTTTCAGGGGGCAGTACTTGGGTTTGAACTCAAGGCCTTGTCCTTACTAGGCAGGTAGTCTACCACTTGAGCCACACCTTTAGCCCTTTTTTTTTTAATCGTGGGACTGGGATTTGAATTTAGGACTTCACGCTCACAAAGCAGGCACTCTACTGCCTGAGCCACACCTCCAGCCCATTTTTCTTAGGTTATTTTGGAGGTGGGGTCTCACAAACTATTTGCCCAGGCTGGCTTTGAACCTTAATCCTCCCAATCTCAGTCTCTCAAGTAGCTAGGATTAATATAGAAGTGAGCCACCAGAGTTAGTTGTTTTTGCTACTTTTTGAGTAGGGTTTTGCATTTTTGCCCTGGCCAGCCTGGACCCTGATCCTTCTACTTACACCTCCCACACCTCTGGGGCCACAGTCATGTACCACCATACCCAGCTTATTGGTTGAGATGGGGTCTCACGATGTTTTTGCTCCAACTGGACTCGATTCCTGATTCTTCCAAACTCTACCTCCCAATTGAGTTTACATTTTTAAACTCCAGATTTCTAGATTTTCTTGAAAATTGTGAAGACAGGGCAACCAGGCCTACAGTTGTATAGGACAACTAATTGCCTTCCTATCCTGCTGATGGGCCATGTGCTCCCCATCCCTGCCTCTGGGGATCATGGACCTCTGTGCTCAGGCCTTTTCTCCACTCATGATGGCTGGCCTGGCCACTGAGGTATGGATTGTATGGTTCCTGTATTGGGCTCCTTCCGCCGCCGTGTGGGGCAGGATGCTCTTACTCCCACCATTCCTCCCTGTTCAGAATGCCAGGCCTCTGAGAAGCCAGGCCTGGCTATCAGAGGAAGGACATTGCTTGAAAATGTGTATGTGAAAAGGGCCAAGTAGAACCTCATGTCCCTGGCTGGAAACTGCTTCCTTCTAAGAAGATAAACAAGCTTCCTAGAGCTTGAACAGCTCCGCCTGGAAACCCAGGACACAGCCTTGCCTCACAGCCCTGAGTGCTCTGGCTTCTCTTTTAGTTTTCATTAGTTTTAAAACTAAAATATGATTAACATACATTAAAACACACAGATCCTAACTGTTCAGTGTTTTGAATTGTCTACACCCACGTAACTACTACTCAAAATAAGATAAGGAATATTTCCATCATTCCAAAAAGTTCTTTCATGTTCCTCCCTTCTGCACCATTTTCTGATGGCTACTCCCATGGAGGAGTTTAGCCTGTTCTGTAACTTCGTATGGATGGAATCACACAGTGTATGAGTACTCTTTGTAGCTGGCTCTTTGTATGTGAGAGAGAGAGTGGTGCTGGGGATTCAATCCAGTCCCTCAGGCATGCTAGGCAAGTGCTCTTCACTGAGCTACACACCAGCCCCGTGTCTGACTTTTCTACACTTCCAACAATGCCCCAGAGGCCCTTCGGGCTGTGCCTGTCTGTATGCTGTGAACAGACTTTGTACGCTTGTCTGCGCACCTGCTGAGTATTATTCCGTGGTGTGGGAGCCACGGTTGGCTTGTCTCCTCACCAACCCATTGGATACTTGGGCAGCTTTGCCTGTTAGGAAGATGGCTACCATAAATGTTCACATCAAGTCTTTAGCGGGGATGTGCTTTTATTCTCTTAGGTAAATACCTCGGAATGGGAAAGCTGGGCCACAGAGCAGATACCATTCTCTAAGGTTGGAAGCCTCCACGTGCCCTCCTCTGTCGCGGGTGAGAAGATGTCTCAGACCATCACAGGTTAGTGCCGCAGAAGTTCTCAGAAGTCAGTCCCTGCCCCATTCTGAGGTAGGATCCTACTGGCAGGGCAGGGATGTCTACAGCAGAATGCTGGCCGAAGAAGAAGAGAGCAGGAGCTGCCGCTGGGCTCTAGAATGGCCACTGTGGATCCACTGCTCTACCTCCAGCCAGGTCTAGAGGGTGTCTGTGCTTGCAACTGAAAGTGTCTCCCCAGAAAAATCTATGGCAGGATACAGCTGTGGCCTCCTGCCCTGTCCATGCTTCCTGACAGGAGCACCAGGACAGGTGGCCAGGAAGGTGGAAGGAGGGACTTACAGAGGTGGGCTCCCTGCCCTGTGTGAGACACTGCCAGAACCTAGGAGGCGTGAGCCCAGTCCAAGGCTGATGCCCCATGCTTGGCCTGGGAACTTAACTCTCCTGAATCCCAGTGCCTGCACCTGAGGCCCGCAGCCACTGGTCCAGCCAGCCCAGTGTGCAGACTCTCACGTGTGTCTCACACTCTGGGTGGAGAAGGGGTGAGCCCCAAGGGATCCACAGCAGAGCTGGGGCCAGGACTAGGGTATCCTTGACCTGAGAGGACCCGGCTTGTGGGTGGCAGGGTAAGGGACTTGACACCAACTCAGTGAGCTACAGCCACCCTCCAGAGAGCAGTGGGCATGGCTAGGCCAGGAAGCGTGAGCCTCCACTCTGGACAGATGGTGGCAGTCACTGAGGGTGGAGACCAGGAGCCAGCACACTGGCTCAGAAGGCACTGCACAGGAATCCAGGCCAGCTGGACACAAGTCTTTCAAAGCTCTTACTTTTTAAAAAAAAAGCCTTGTGAGCAGTGCTGGCCCTTGCTTGTGCAAGGCATGTGCTGTACCGCTAAGCTACACCCCCAGCCTCAACTTGCCTTTTTCCCAAAGGAACTGGGTGCATTTTCCCAGGGAGGGCTGAGAACACTGTGGTCGCAGGAACTGACTTACTCATGGCTCATGGGTGCACGTGGAGACCACAGGTGCAACTGGCTATGGCTTGCTGCAGGGGAGATGGCCTGTCTCAGGGGCCGTGGGACATTTATTGCCGTCTTCTGGTCCCAGGCAGCAGGTATCACCCTGGGGCTGCCACGTGCAGCTGGCAGACCCGGAGCTCAGCACATTGGAGGCCCCCATCCCCACCCTAACACCCCCTTCCAATATAGCAATGGTACTGGCTTGGCAGGAAACTGAATCTGCCCTCATTCCAAAAGGCAGCAAGAGCTGGAGCAGTTGTCTCCATAGAAGGGCTTTCCGAAGAGCAGAGCAAGTGCCCCACTGGCCCCCACCAGGGAAAGAAGGTGGAGTGCCTGCCTTGCAAGCACGAAGGCCTGAGTTCAAATCCCAGTCCCACACCCAAAAAACCCCCAGAAGGCATGGATAGACTTTTGTTGACATCAACAATGAACAAATGGTGGTTTCCAGCCAAGCAGCAGAAGGCAGGGTGCTACTGCTGCAACGTGGACACCGGGTTCAAGTCGTGGCTTTACCAACTCAGCTTCCTCAGTTGAAAGGTGGGGTAGCCACTTCTGCCCTAATGCTGCTGCTGCAGAGCTGGATCACAATGAGAAGACAAAGAGCAGCGCTGGCTGGCACGGGGGCGGGGTGGGGTTTCTGTGGAGGACACCTGAGGATAGAGAGAAGAGGCCTGGACCTTCAATCTGAAAAAGAGCTGAGAAGTTCGTATCTGAAAGGCATTTTATTTTGGGGCTGGCTCTCAGACCCTGGCCCCATGAGGTAGATTTTCCTGATATAGGGGGATACACATTCTGATAAGCCTGGGTCCCAGAGTAACTGGGATAGATAACCACCTCAGTAGAGGCCATTTCTGTGGTGGCCAAGGAGCTCGGCATCATTCTCCACCAGGCACCTCCGCAAGTACCCTGGCTGGTCCTGGGGTAGTCCTGGAGGTGTCAGACAACTGGAAACCCTCTAAGGGGTTCACATCTTCTGGGGGAGGAAATGGAGTATGATCAGGATTCAAGTCTTCCGTTACCTAATGGCTGATGTCGGGGGTAACCCAAGCCGGCAGTGCCCTGCACACACTGTGAAGTAGCTCTCCGCCCCCCAGCCTCCTCCAGCCCTTCTCCACAGCCTGGCTGACCTCTTAGGCTCTCGGGCCCATTTGTGGCACATGTGGGCCGAGAACTGGGGCCTTCAGGGGTATGGTGGGCAGTGTGAAGGCACTGGATCAGTGGAAAGAAACTTGTGTGCTCAACAGGAGCTGCTCCCCTCCCTCCTTTCTCCTTCCCCTTCCAAAATTGTCCCCAGATGTCATTACAGCCAGTTTCTGCTAGAAGTCGGAGGGAAACAATGCCTGGCTCAGTCAAGGCTGGTGCTGAGATGAGCTGCACAGGGTCCTCAGACTTCCCTTGCCCAAGGCTCCCCACTCTGTGACCAACCATGGCAGGGTCTTCCATTTGAAAGTCACAAGGTTGTATGAGGCCTGCAGGACCCTTAGGGAGCCATGTGTACTCTAAAGATGACAGGCCTTCACCTTCTTAATGGTGGGATGTCAACATTGGGAGGGACTCTCCTGAGGACCAATCCACTGCTGGTTGCAACAAGTCTTAGCAGGGTGGTTGTTTTCAACTCGGCACAATGGGATCACTGGGGATTGATAAAATATGAGTGTCAGAAGTTCTGACTGCATGAGGCTGTGGTGTGGCCTGGGCTCGAATACTGGAAAAGCTCTCTTCCAGATGACTAACCTACAGCCGGAACTAAAAGTCACCAGCTCTGGGAGCAGCAGCATCCCTTCCAGATGAGGAAACTGTGTCCTTGAGGCCTTCTCAAGGTCACACAGCACTGTCCCTTGTGGTGTCTGTTCCAGCTTTTGGTCAGAGGAATCAGAGGGGCTGAGAAAGCAGAGGCATCCAGAGGGGTGGTGGATGTTTGGGAATTCAGTCATACCACCACTTCTTACCAACTGGGCCTAATTTCCCTACCACTCAACAAGAGTAAGTGTGGGTGCCCAGCCCTTCTCAGAGGCCCTGTGGATGGGGAACTCACATGAGCAAAGGCCAGCTGCAGGAGGCCTTCTCTTTCCTGCTGCCTTTTTTGGTGACTGAAATCTTAGAATGATCCAGGAGCCAGACAGGCAGGCAGACAGGCGCATTCTTTTCCAGGAGGCCACTGCTGGGAGAAGGGAGGGGTCAAGTAGAGCTTGCCCAGGCCTGACCTTAGGCTGGGTTTCAGGCTGTAGCCAAGCAGGGCTCCCTGGGGACTTGAGAGTAGTTAAGGAAAGCCCCAAAGGCTAGTCTGTGGTTTAGAGTCCTGTGACTTGGGATGATACCAAGTAGGAGGTTGGGGGGAGCGTGTTTCCAGCTCCCTTGGGCTTCCACCCCTACCCCTGGCTGTGGGATTTTTGCAGTTTCTGGACAATCCTTCTTTGTCCAGCCTGTGTCCCCAGCAAATGTTCCTGGCTTCACAGGTGTCAAGAGGACGGCAACCTGAACTGTTGGGGGAAATGGCTGCTTTCAGTTTTCTCAAACCAGCAAGGGCCACTTTCCTGAACTGTGTGTGTGCCTGAATAAGGCAGAAGGTGGGTTGATGCATACTGACAAAAGCTTCTCAGCACTGATCAACTTTTTCCTTGCGAAAATACAATTGGTCTCCTCCTACCACGGCAACAGGGCTGGGGGTGGCCCACTATGAAATGTCCTTCCTTCCCACAACCTCCCCCTGCCAGCAGACTGTGGGGAGGACTTCATTCTTTCCACAGGGTGGGGAAGGGTTCACATGTCACCCCTGAGGGAGCTTGGCCTTGTGGGGAGGTAGAAGAGCCCTTCAGAATTCAAACTCTGAACCTTGAGAATTAGGCATCTGTACCTGGGTTTCCTCCTCCACAAAATGGACCTAACAGCCCCACTCAGGATGAAGGAAGGCTCAGCATTCCCAGCTCTCTGCAGCTCCTCCTACTGCCCTCGCTCTGGTGATGACAAGCTGCAGTATAAGGAGTAAAGACTCCTCTGGGTCACTGCTGGACGTCCTGCAGAGGTCGAGGCTCTAAAAAAGGTGTAGGCACTAACATAGATGTTTTCATCCAGGTCCACTCCTGGTAGCTGGTCAGGACAGAGGAGCACATTCAGACCCTGCAGCATGAGACTTGTCTCCAGGCTTTTGTCAGTGCAGATGTGAAGTGGCCTGTATAGTAGCGAGTCACTGATGAGCTGGTTTGGACATTGGTTTAGGTGCCTCGTGGATATTGTTAACACACTTATTCTTCATGGCAGCCTTGAAGCAGAAGGCATTATTTCATGCTTACTTTTTAGATGGGAAAACTGACGTGTAAGGGAAGGTCAAACTCCAAATAACCAGGTGTGCCAACCTAGGGAACTAAGTGAAGAATGTCACAAAAGGGAACAGAAAGCACAGCCTGGAGAGGTAGCAGATGGCAAGGAGAAGGGGCAGCAGGAAGCAGCCTTCACATGGTGGGGCAAAGCTCTCTTCTGAGAGCCTGGAACTCAGAGACTGCTGGGCTCTGAACACTACTGCCTGGGGGGGCCACCCCTACAGCACTGTTTGCACAAGCCTTTGGGACCTTTCTAAACAGAAACATCAATCTGCAAGTCTTTGCTAAGGACAGCGCCATTTCACTCAAGGTCGACTTGGGGTCTGGGGACAGAAGTACAATTTGTAGGCTCCAGCAAGGCTAACATGTGAGAAAGTGGACATGGTGACATCTGAGAAGGTAGCCAGCTTCTCACATGCCAGAAAACGGGGGAAAATATGCAGGACTGACTCTGGCTTGGGCCAGGCTTCTGTCCTGGCTATGAAGTAAGGACCTAGTTGGCTGCACCTGTGTCAGGAGCCCATGTCTGGACCAGTCTGCCCAGGATGGGATGTGCTGGAGCCCTGAAAAGGGGAACTAGAACAACCAGGCAGATACCCCCTCCTCATCCCCAGGTCTACCACAGCAGGGTCCTGAAAACTTGATTTCCAAGGGTCTCCAGGACCTGCTGCAGATGCCGCAGTGAAGAAGGCACTGTCCTCCAGTTCACTTAAGCAGACATTTATTGAGCACCTATCAAGTGCAAAGCACTGTGCTAGGTGCAACAGGAAATACGGAGTGAGCACGGACGCCCTGCCCGAGAGGAGCTCACAGTCTAAAGCGAGGCAAGACACAGTACACAATTGGCTTCAGCAACACCAGCCAGAAGCAAGTCACAAAGTGCGGTGGAGCCACACAACACCACAGGGCTGCTTCTGGTCAAAGCATTGGGCAAGGGCACAAAGAGGACTCCGAGCTGGGCCTCTAAGGAGGGAAGCCATTTGGGAAAAGGGCATTTGTAGCAGAGAGGGGGTGCGTAGGTAGGCAGGAGCATACAGGTATATGTGGCTGGAGTGAACATGAACAGGGGGATACAAAGTGGACAATCAAGGATGGCCAGGAGATGACAGCTATGGAGTCTGACTGAAGACTGCATAAGAGGAAGAGAGTAACCAAAAATAGGCTCCTGGGAGATAAACCAGAGTAGCGTGGAGGACAGAAGGGAGGGGAGAGAACTGAAAGGTGGACCAATGTCATGGGGAGGATGTGAAAGTTGCTGGTAGGCAGTGGCAAGCAAAGGATGAGGACAGGTGCAGGGAATCTCACAGAGGGTGGGTGGGGAAGGAGCAAGGGACAACAGATGAAGGCTGTAGGTCTGGGGAGGGAGGACTCCACTGGTCTAGCAATGGTGGGGTTATGAAAGAATGGTGATCCTGAGGAGAGGGCAGAGCTTCTTGACTGTGGCCTGTGGACCCTGTGCCCAGGGGCCATCCAGGGAGCATGGAAACAGATCTTCAGACTTTACTCTAGAGCACTAAATGCACACATCAGGGAATGGGGCCCAGTAATCTACATTTGTAATGATAGCCACCATGAATCTGTTGAGCAAGAGTGTTAAGGGCTGACCTTTAGGATAAAGGAAGAAAATTGAAGGTCTAGAAGTGAAACATGGAGAGAATAAGGTGAATAGCATGGTTACTGAGTGCCCACACTAAAATTAAGGACCCAGAAGAGGTCACTGAATTTGGTAATCAGGTAGTGTGCAGTGACATTCTAGACTACTTGCCATGCAAGTGGGTGGAAGCCAAGTTTGCAAATGGATAAATGCAGAATGGGAAGCTGGGGGAAAGACTAGCAGCAGCAAATAGACAAGATTCTTAGGAAGAAATGAAGGTGAGCAGCATCACTGAACAAATTACAGATAGGAGATGAGAGATGGGCTCAGGAACACTGTGGGAAAGATGGGCAAGGACAAAACAGCACTGAGCAGAGTGCTCAGAAGGTGGAAGATCCCTAAAAGCAGGTGATATCTCTGAAGTGTGGGAGGTGGGCTGAGCTGGGTACCTGGTAGGGCAGAGAGCAGGCTGACAGCATCATGGGAGCCTGGCTTTCCACATGTAGATTCTGGAGTCCTCTTTCACGCTATACAAGCGACACTAGGCCTGAGTAGCTGACAACACAACCAAGCCTGAGATGATGCTGTGCCATCACCCAGGAGCTGAGATTCCTCTGTTTTCTTGACTGGCAGCCTCCAGGGTCTCAAACAAAGGCTACCTGATAGATGAAACAAATCTTCTACTCTCAAAGATGAGCTCCACTAGCTACCTGTCCTCTGACCTGGACAACCTCTATGAGAACTGGGCACCCTGTCTGTTGGGTAAGGATGACCTTCTCTGCCCCCACTAGCCACCTCACATAAAAGCCATGCCACACAGGAGGCAAAACCACACTGCACTTAAGCAGGGGAAGGGAGCCTTACTGCCAAAGTCATCCTGGAAATAGCTATGGATGGAGGTTGACCATCTACCTAGCAGCCACACAGCCTGGGAAGAGGGAACAGCGGAGAGCAGGTCATGAATTGCACTTAATGATTTGATAACTGGGGTTTTAAATGCCCAGATTAACTAAATGTGATAGATTTCAGAAAAGATTTTGAAGTATGGTTCATGTTATACCTTTCATATTATAACTTACAAAATAATTAATGCTTTATATTCTTCTCCCACTTTCTCTTCTTCCCTCCCATGTACAGAAAGGGGAAGGGACAGGTATTTCTCTCAGAAACAAGAATACAGAGACTTACAGAACTCAAAGGTCAAGTTCAAAATGCTTCTAGAACCTAGAAAACTTGTGGCCCCTTCAAGCTGGCCAGAAGGCTCAGCCCTGGCAATGTGGGTGAGACTCCTGTGTCTGTTCTCCGATTCAGAGAAGCAATAGACTGGCTGCTGGAATGAACATGAGCCAGGGAAGGAGTCCCTGTGAGGCAGCCAGTCTTCACATCTCTGCTGTGCTTGAGAGACAACCAGCTGTGAAACTGGGGCAGAGGGGGCTGTAATTGAAACACAGTTGGCTGGGTTGCCAACATATCCCAAAGTGACACCTGATAACCAGCTTTGCATTCAGATGCACCGTCAAGGCATCTGGGAGAAAACATGATTGATTCAAGTACAAATCTGGCCATCTGAAGGGCCCTGTATTCATATCCCGAGTGATGCAGGCATCAAACGAAATCAAGAGGACATATGCCTGGCAGGAGCACTCTGGGGTGCCACCTTATCCCTGCACCATGAAGAACAAACAAGCACCAAGTCCTCAGCCGCTATTCTGGGGGCCGGGAGAGACATGATCCACAAGGCAGACATGAGACTGTGAGCAGCCTGGGGAGAGAACAGGCATAAAATACAAAGCCCTTTGAAAGTCTAGGTAAGAGTCAAGATGTTAAGAATTACCAGTAAAAGAATTTCACTGACACAGAATTTGAGCAACACTGAAAACAGACAATACTAAGAATTGGTTCTGAGGACTCACTGGAAAAGCTGCTTCAGAGACTACTAAAAAGACAAAACAGGAAAATAAATAGAGGGGCTCTGGGACCCCCCCACAGAAGCTACTAATGCTATTTATTGGCTTGGGTCATTCTTGAGAATAGAAAACTTTTTTGGCAAAGCCGTACAAACTGCACACCAGAGCATCTCCTATAGTTGTAGGGCATACAACAAAGGGGTGCTCCATTAAACTCACTCTGTGGCACAGCCTGAGGCTAAGGCGTGACTTCTGGAGTCAAATCTGACTGGATGCATGGAGGCCCCCGCCTGGTGAGTACACCACAGCACTGGGAGGGGAGTCTGGCCCTGTTTGGTGCTCTACCTGCAGGCATGTCTGGATAGTGAGCACTCGCGGCCTCAGTTCCTTCTGTAGGGTACAGCGAGAAGGATGGGACTCCATGAGCTCTAAAACTTCTACCCTGATCTTCTGCATCTAACTTTGCCCTCGTCATTAACAACAGCTAGGCACAAAGCGCCATCTAGTGGTTCCACTTGTCCACTCTCAAATGGCCCAAACAAAAGACCTCACAGGAACAAACCAGCCCCAACTCCAGGGGAGGGCAGAGGCAGGAGGGGTGCACACTTCGGTACACTTCCTGTTAGTGGACAGGACATATTCATCTCAAGAAAATATACTTTAAGAGGTCCTGCTTTCCTTAAGAAAGCAACTCTTTTTTTTTTTTATTTAGAAAGACTAACCATATCCATTTGTCAATATCTTCAGCTTTAAGGAAAATAGTTTAAAAAACATAAAAATGTAAATACACTCAAGAGTAACTGCTATTAAACAGTTCTGAACAGGCAGAAAATGTAGACTTTTCTTTTACAGAAAATGTTAAATCTGTAATAGCAGCATAATTTATATATAGAAAAAAGCTGGCTTTGAAAACCCAGATTTTTGTATACACAAAACATCTTTTTTTCTTTTCTCTGTACAATACAACAACGTTTACACTGGAAAGAGGATTCTTCACATTATGGTACTTCCCACTGCAGACAGCCATCAGTTCGAGTGTGAGCATGGGCCCTGAGCTCAAGCTTCCCAATGCAATCTTTAGTCCAACACCATGGCAGAGAGGGCATTCAGATCTTTCATGTACGGATGGGCCGCCAAGATCTGGTCAATTTTCAGTCTCTGCTCAGAGTCAGGGAAGATCTTCAGCAGGGCCTCCCTCAGCTCGCTGGTTTCGGCAGAAGACCTTTGTGCTGGCATGGGCATATTCTGTTGCATACTGGGAAGGTTTGGCAGGAGGGGGAAGTGGGACTGCTGAGAGAGCCAGGGGCTGGAAGGAGCTCCCTGAATCCGGGGCGGAGGCTGGTGGCTAGTGCTGGCTGCCTGGGTTCCAGGGACCCTGAAGCTGGGGTCAAACACATTGGGCAGGGCATTAAGCAGCGGCTGCATGTCTCTGTGGGTGAAGGGAATGGAGTCTTGGTAAGCTGGGTTATGAGATAAATGAGAAACCCCTTTAAACCATGTGCTGTTTATTTGGAGGCTGAAGATGCTGCTCCCTGGCAAGATGCCAGACTGTTGTGGCACTGTGGGGTTTCACTGACACCATCTTTAGATGAGTCAGGACAGGGAACAAGCTTCTCCTGAGCTGGCACTCCCCTCCCAGGTCTGCTGCCTGAGGACTGACTCCATTCACCTGTTCTGGCTCTAAAGCAGGGTGTGCATTTTTAAAAGCCATGGATCACAGCATTCTACTCTTCTGGAGATTCTGACTGTGGGTAGGACCAACAGTTAGACAAAAGGAGCCCCTTCTGTCTGCATGGACCTGCCCACCCCCAACAGGTTCACGGAATGAAAATGAAAAAGATATTCATACATATATAATGAACCTAAGTGGTATTCACTAATAAATGACTATTAGCTTAGGAAATCTGCCACCCTCAAAACCACTTGGCTTCCCATCCTCTCCTAGGACTAAAATGAAAAGACCCACAAATGAATACTGGCCTTCTGGAGGTGTGTGCCACATACATTGCGAATTGCTGTATTTAAGGCTTCAAAAAAAAATTAAATGCCATTTTTAGTCTCCAAGGACAGCACAAGAACTTAAATACACTTTTAAATGTAAGATAATCGAAAGAAATACCTAAGAATGACCTCCTTCCGAAGAAATTCTTCTAATCTAGGTCCACTTCTTCCTAAAGGATCATCAGGAACCATAAATATGTCGCCCACAAATGTATACTGAAGTAGTCTACAACACAGAGAAAAACTGGAAATGCATCCATACGCAAACCAACTGAAAATAACCTTTTAAAAAGGAAAACGATATAATAATATGAAGAAAGAAATTCTGAAGTCAGTGGAGGAGTATTTATATCAAGCATGGGATGGGGCTAGGTGGACTCCTCAGTTAGAAGAGCACCTGTCTGGCACACTTGAGGCCCTGGGTTCAATCTGTAACACCACACAAAGAAAGAAAGAAAACTCTAGCTTTTTTATATTTGCTTTTTAAATTTGTCTTCATTGTTCACATCTTGCTTTCTGTTTTGCTTTTACAAATTCTGAAAGCAGTGGGTTGGCTGGAGTCTAACTGCATTCAAAGACTGCATTAAGCTTAGACAAGAGTGTCAGTGAGCTCAGGGGCGTGTCTGAGAAGAACAGCTTGTAAACTGTGTCTAGCAAGTCAAAGACCAACTTTTAGGGTCAGTTACCACCAGAGTATGGGTCAAAATGCATGCTGGTTCTGTATCAGACAAGGATTAACTGTAAAACCTCAAAAGAGATAAATGTCTAGTCATAGTAGTTATACATTAGTTATACACGTTATACTGACTTAACGTATATTCAGCTCATGGTTTAACATTCGTGACATGTCCTAGGTCTACACCAGGCTCCTGCTTTCTGTGGTAAATAACCATTCAGGTGTTGCTTGTTAGTAAAGTCCTGGAAGCTGGTGCACTCACTGTTCCCCAGTTTTTAGCAGCTAGACACAATCATAGTATCATCATGAATAAAAAGGGAATGCTAATCAACTCTTAACTCTGTTATTCTAGATGACAACTAAACATGTTTTCAATACAGATAATGAACCATAACTTTAAAAAGCTCAGGAAAAGCATCAGATATTAAAAGTAGAAATATTGTTTGGGTACCCAAAAAGTAAACCTTTAGTCTTTTGGTCCTCCCCTCTTGCTGGAATCACAGTATTTCAGAGGGAGATCTCACTTGTCACTAAGTCCAGTCACGTGGGCACACACAGCAGGCCCACCCAGCCTATATATTGCATGAATAGCATAGTCTTTTGCAGGGCCAAGGTCCACAACAGACAGACAAAATGCAAATAAAAACAAATAATAAGCAGTAACAACAACAAAACTTCTCACCAAAGAAAAATCTTACCTTTTTGTAATAATTTCTCTCCAAGAGACTGATTCAGTTACAAATTCTCTGAAGTTATCATTTGTTACAATTATGCCACCAGTTTTGTCAGCTAAGTGCAGTAGAAACCTATGGTAATGTAAGAGAGTTTAAGTGATAGTTTCTTTTTTTTATTTTGATGGTACTGGGGTTTGAGCTCAGGGCTTTGTGCTTGCTAGACAGGTACTCTACCACTTGAACCATTCTACAGCCCTTAAAGCTAGATCAGTTGACCAGTTAAGTTTTGTTTGTTTGTTTGTTTTGGTGAGACTTGGGTTTGAACTCAGGGCTTCATGGTTGCAAAGCAGGCGCTCTACTGCTTGAGCCATACCTCCAGTTGCAAGAGAATTTAAAATGAGCAAATAGGCATCCCTGGCATAGAGAAGCTGTTTTCTTCCGATTTAGGAACAGATGACTGACTGCTATTCTGCTTAGCCTAAATCATAGACTCACTGGAAGTTATGAAAGGATACCTGACGATGGAAAAAAGTAAGAATCGAATAGAGAAGAACCTGTGTCATTGCTGTAAGAAAATGCAAGAGCTGGGTGCTGGTGGCTCATGCTTGTAATCCTAGGTACTCAGGAGGCAGAGATCAAGAAGATCAAGTTCAAAGCCAGCCTAGGCAATAGTTCTGAGACCCTATCTCGAAAAAACCCATCACAAAAAAAGGGCTGGTTGAGTAGTTCAAGGTATAAACCCTGAATTCAAGTCCCAGTACTACCAAAAAAAAAAAAAAAAGACAGAAAGAAAGAAAATAAAGGATATCCTCTTCTCAGGAAAATCACCAAAGAATTTAGACAAGACCAAACAGTAGAAAAGTCCCTGAAAATGATGAAAATCTCTGAAATTAGTGTGATTTTAAGAACTGTTTTTCATACAATCTAATTTTTAGAAAATGACTTCAACTGTAATTTATACTTTCTAGAGAAGGTGTATTAGCAATAAACAGCGGTAGTAATTCATGAGGAGTAAGAGGTGATAAGTCTGTGAAATTTCCACTCAGCTATCCCTCGTGTGGCTCAAGATTAGCTGCTTAGTACCACTTTTTTTTTTTTTTTTTTAATTCACAGGCTCCTGTTTTCTTCTGATTTAGGAGCAGATGCCTGACTGACATTTTGCTTAGCCTAAATCATAGACTCGCTGGAAGTTATGAAAGGATACCTGATGATGGAAGAAAGAAAGAATCGAACAGAGAAGAAGCCTGTGTCACTGCTGGAGATTATTTCTGTTCAAACTCTTACTAAGAGGGTTGTAAGGTAATAGGAGTTTTCTCTTAAGTCAGGATGAACATTTACATCCAAGACAATGTAGACCAAGACAAGGAAGTAAGAATCAGTGGAATTAAAGGTACAAACAACTGCTTGTTAGCCGTGAGAGTACCTTAACCATGAAAATAAATGGGATTTACCTCTCTCTTTATTAATGAACATTTTAAAGGTTGTTTTTGTAAGACATGGTCTTGCTACACAGTCCAGATTCTCAGCCTCCCCCAGTGCTTGATTACAGCAGCACACCACCATGCCCAGCTTATCAATAAACACTTATTTCTATCTAGCATGAGTTTAAGGGTGATGTTTGCCCAGAGGTGTTAATAAAAGTAGGCAGTAAGACTTCTAAGAGCATGTACTATGAATTAGGACACACCAATGTATTCTTTAAAGCCCAGAGAGACACACAAGTCAAGCAAAAGCCTAATTGTGTATTTGTACCTGATTCACATTCTGCAGGTATGAGAGGGCCCAGTGGCCCAACTTACCTTCTGACCTGAGCACCCCAGTGCTCCTGCCCCTAGACAGGGCTGAGCATGAACTGCCTTCCAGGACATTCTTCCAGGACTTCTTGCCCTGTCCCCTAGCTGTCGTTTTCTAGCTCTTCCCACTTTTCTTTCACAATCTCCCCATCTAATCTGCTCTCTTCCCACCTGGCACAGGCCAATCAATGAGAAGGCCTTTTTGGTGAAGGACTGTCTGTTGTGGTCTCAAGTCACCTTTGCCTACTACAGACTTTTTTTCACCTTTTACTATTTAACCCATTCACTAGCTTGGGTCACAAGCTAGATACTACCTTCAATGGGGGGAAAGGTAAAAATAAGCAGAATAAATGGAGGAGGAAAGAACCAGAAGCTACCACTTAGCTTTCCTGATACCAGACTTGTTACTACTGACTATAAAAACTACCTTGCCACTGGTTAAGTTTGGAAGCCTCTCAGAGCAAAACTCTCCTTATCTGTGTGCTTCTCTAGATAACAAGCTCAGGGCAGTAGGTGCGACTGTTCCCCCAGAACCTAGCTCTGCACAGTTGACTTGGTCAATGCTCAGTGAAGTTTTTAGAAAACAATTTAAAATGTATGGACTAAATCTTAAAAGTGTCTCAGATGCAGTAGCACCTGTTGAGTGACCTAGCAACCTAAGAGATGCACCTCACTCCTACTACATGAAGATCAGTAGAGATGTCTTCTATTGCATGGAAAAATCCAGGAGGGCCTGGGTGCCACAGTGACAGACTAAGTTATTGGCCAAACAGACCAGGAGCAGGTAGTAATACTGACTCCCTGACAACTTTTTTAGATGAGGGTCTCACTATATTGCCCAGGCTGGTTTACAACTCCTGTGCTCAAGTGATCCTCCCACTTCAGTCTTCTGGGTAGCTGGGACTATAGGCACATACCACTGTACCCAGCTGAAAACCACAAGGCTTTCACAATGAGACAAGACAAACATGCATTATTTTTAGCATTTACAAAAAAAAAAAAAAAAAAAAAAAAGGACTATGACTAAATATCTACTTGCATCATCTATTTATTAAAAACAAACAGCTAGACACTGGTGACCCAAACCTGTAATCCTAGCTACTTGGGAGACTGGTATTAGGAGGACTGCAGTTTGAGGCCAGCCCCAGCAAACAATTCTTGAGATTTCCATCTTCAAAATAAACAGAGAAAATGGACTGAGGGTGTGGCTCAAGTGGTAGAGTGCCAGCTTTGCAAATGCAAAGCCCTGATTCAAACCCATTCCCACATAAACCAAACAAAGCAAAAATTGGCCCAACA